TGGAAAGGAAAACAATAGAATAAAAGTGTAAGGTGATTGGTGGAAAGGAAAACAATAGAATAAAAGTGTAAGGTGATTGTTGGAAAGGAAAACAGTAGTATAAAGGTGTAAGGTGATTGGTTGAAAGGAAAACAATATAATAAAAGTGTAAGGTGATTGATTGAAAGGAAAACAATAGTATAAACCAATCACCTTACACTTTTATACTATTGTTTTCCTTTCAACCAATCACCTTACACTTTATTCTATTGTTTTCCTTTCAACCAATCACCTTACACTTGTGTTGGGGTTAATAATGACACTATGAGGTCCTCTACATGACAGGACTAGACGTGTTTGGGTTAGTAATGACACCGCGCCTGTGTAACGGTAGACTTGAATGTTTTGATTGCTTAAAGGCATAAAGATAATAATATCTAAGCGATTAATTAAATTTATAATGGAATTCGAATTGTCATAGGGTATCAAATGATTATTCGAGATCAATGGTTTAATAGGTTTCAAACGGTTAATTAACCTCCAAGGGTTATTGGATCTCTGGGTTAGTTCGCGTATAATTGGATAAGAAGTAGCATAACTTTTGAAAATCACTCATAAAAACAAAAAATTGGCATAGTTGCAAAACAGAAAAAAATAAATAAAAAGATCGTAGTTACTCTATTACATCATAAGCAGTCATGGATGGTGAATAGTAACACATCCTGAAACGTTAGGCCTTACACTTTGGGACTGGTTGTGGCTTTCTGGTTAGCGTGTCGAACTGTGAATCTGAGGGTCTGTATTACCATCCTGTTGCCAAAAAATGCGCTCCGTACTTTGGAGTCGTGAGCGCGTTAAAAGAGTATTAGTCAAATCCCGTTATTCGATTAGAGTATCCAAAAAGTTGGTGGCTGGTTGCCTCTAGTCTATCGGCCCAAAATTAGAGACAGCTAACACAGATAGTCTTCTGTAACAATCAACCAATCACCTTACACTTTTATACTATTGTTTTCCTTTCAATGTTTAGGTTTGTAACAACACCATTTGGTCCTCTACATGACAGGACTAGGTTACCTAGTCCTGTCATGTAGAGGACCAAATGGTGTCATTACTAACCCCAACATATCTAGTCCTGTCATAGAGAGGACCAAATGGTGTCATTACTAACCCCAACACATCTAGTCCTGTCATAGAGAGGACCTCATAGTGTCATTATTAACCCCAACACATCTAGTCCTGTTATGAAGAGGACCGCATGGTGTCATTACTAACCTCAACATACCTAGTCCTGTCATGGAGAGGACCTCATAGTGTCATTATTAACCCCAACACACCTAGTCCTGTTATGAAGAGGACCGCATGGTGTCATTACTAACCTAAACACGTCTAGTCCTGTCATGGAGAGGACCTCATGATGTCATTACTAACCTAAACACGTCTAGTCCTGGTGTATTTATGAAGAGGACCTCATGATGTCATTTCTAACCTAAACACATCTAGTCCTGTCATGGAGAGGACCTCATGGTGTCATTACTAACCTAAACACATCTAGTCCTGTCATGGAGAGGGCCTCATTGTGTCATTACTAACCTAAACACATCTAGTTCTGTCATGGAGAGGACCTCATGGTGTCATTACTAACCCAAACACATATAATCCTGTCATGGAGAGGACCTCATGGTGTCATTATTAACCCGAAACACATATAGTCCTGTCATGGAGAGGACCTCATGGTGTCATTATTAACCCAAACACATATAGTCCTGTCATGGAGAGGACCTGATGGTGTCATTACTAACCCAAACACATCTAGTCCTGTTATGGAGAGGACCTCATGGTGTCATTAATAACCCAAACATGTCTAGTTCTGGTGTATTTATGAAGAAGAAGTCATGATGCCATTACTAACCCAAACACATCTAGACCTGTCATGGAAACATTGTAGAGGACCACATGGTGTCATTACTGACACAAACATGTCTATTCCTGTCATGGAGAGGACCGCATTATGTCATTACTAAACCAAACACGTCTATTCCTGTCATGGAGAGGACCTCTTCAACTAATTGGTTTCAATACCCAATGAATCAGAAAAGATCCCTACAAGACTGCCGGGCGAGTTTAATTAAAGGCCATATTGTCATCTATCATTCAGTTAAACGTAAGATTTGAATCGGCTAAGAATATTCAAAGATTTAACTGTGACGAAAATTTTTTCTGGACTTAAAAGACTCGAAACTCATACACTAAGTTCAAGGGGCAGTCTTTCCTATACGTCACTCACAATCCACGTATCCTCGCGCTTTTGTACATAGAAACATAACATGAAATTAGTTTTGTACACGTTTTGTGTATAATTTGGGAAGAGAGAGAGTTAAATTAATTACATACTGGTGATTTACATAGATACAATGAAGAAAGAGAGACAACGTGGTAAAGTGTCTAGAAATATAGATAATGAGCAAAATTTTTAACGATCGACAGTGGGATTTCTTCACTTAAATAAAAAGGATGTATTTATACAAACACACAAATGGCCGCTTAATTAGGGACATAATGAAGAGTTTGTGAAATGTCTAGGCATTTTGACCAGAAACTGTGTTTTTAAAACAAAAATGTTTTGATAAACAATAAATTGAATTATGTGGCCGTAAATAAATTTAATTGAAAATTAATAACTTAAATAATTTAGGTAAAGGCGAGTTTATCATGCAAGATGTTTTTATCTTGTTTATTCGTGTCTTTGGAAGTGATAGAAGCTTCCTATCATGTATCTCTAACTCTTTTAGTGTTGAGAAAAACACAGCCGTCGTGTTTTATAAATTTTTGGATGCTTATTAGGCCAAGAAAGTAGATTAAGTCCACGTGTAAATGTTTTCTCCGGAGTTATTAATTACCACATTACGGATTGTCTCCCGATTTATCAGCGGTAAGATTACGGACTTACAACAGTAAAATCCGGAGTTTGATTCCCCGCAGTAGAACGAGTGCAACTAGCCCATTGTAAAATAACAACATCCATTACGAATTTCAAATCAGAGATGTTTGAAACTTACAACTGAGATCCATCTTTTCTGTCGCACGTCACTACCCAGGAGACCTTTCGTTCAATACCAAAAGTCGTGAACTGTGCCGAAATTGTTGCTCATTCTTATATTGCTCGATATTTTAAAGACATATTTATACATAATTGTTTGTTTGTTTGTAATTAAGCACAAAGCTACACAATGGGCTATCTGTGCTCTGCACACCACGGGTATCGAAACCCGGATTCTAGCGTTGTAAAGTCCGCAGACATGCCGCTGTGCCACTGGGGGGCATTTATACACGAGTTGATTAGAATTATCCTCGTGGTTACAAAAAACAACAACACTAGAATGATTAGGATTTTTTTTTATTATGGGATGTTTTTTAATTAACAAAATTCAAGCTTTATGTTGCTTATTTAAATTTACTAAATATTGTGTTCGTTCGAAAATAACGAAACGGAGCGATGAAACGTGATGTACAGAAGCATCATTACGTCTTTAACGGAATGGAAGTAGCTTTATTTTGATCGCTGGGTCTGCTACATGACGGAAATCCTCTACACATGAATGGAATGCGCCTCGAGCGAGGGCTGAGTGCAAAGCGGACACGTCCAAATCTGTGGGTATGGCACGAATCGACTCGTTTAAAAGCACGCTGACAAAACGAGTGGAAGACTGATAAAGTAACAACTCGAATATCGGAAGGCGAGAGAGAAAAAGATGTTTCTTCTGTGTGCTCGTGGTTTAGTAAGATCGTAATTGATCTATTTAGTCCTCGATGTAAAATTTAGGTCGGCTAGACACGGCAAGACGTTGTAGTTTATACTGACCGTGTGGTGCGTGCTAACCCTCTTTGGGCGTGCAAGCTGGATTGTAAGGTAAGTAAGTACCTTCGACGTTTCAAATGATTTTATCTTTACGATATACTTATGTGAGAGAGAGATATATTTATTGTTCTTCACTTGAGCTTGAAACCACAGTATGTTTAAATATTCAAATACTTTTCTCGTTGCCAGGAGGAGATTAGGTTGTCTTGTTCTCGGTTATAACTACTACCGATCTCTTCATTCGGGTGTATAGAGAAAATACTTTACACGAATTGACAAACTGGACATAATTTAAATTCTATATCAGTGTATGTATATTGCTTCATATATCGTGTAGAAACGGGGGGGGGGTATAAGAACGAGGAGAGGATTGTCAGTAGAAACTGGAGGGGGTATAAGAACGAGGAGAGGATTGTCAGTAGAAACTGGAGGGGGTATAAGAACGAGGAGAGGATTGTCAGTAGAAACTGGAGGGGGTATAAGAACGAGGAGAGGATTGTCAGTAGAAACTAGGGGATATAAGAACGAGGAGAGAATTGTCAGTAGAAATGGGAGGGGGGTATAAGAACGAGGTATTTTTACACTCATGTTTAGCAGTAGGTGTCGCCCCACCAAGAAACTCTGAACTGATGATTAGTTATAAATTATAGTAGTTGGGGAGGGGGGTCCATTCTTCTCCTAAAGGACACCGGCATCTGTGGGGATGAAAAGGAAGGGGAGATCAAAGGCTGCCGCTAAGTGGGGAGGGTGGGTGGAATCCTTCAGTGCCGTAGTTCTACAGAGTGATGTTAGAGGGTGGATAGTTCCAAACTATTCCACTAGGCGTAGATAGTTCTAATATGTGCCACTAGGTGTACATAGTTCAAAGATATAATTTTATTACAAATCGCAGCTCTTACGGCAAGTAAGAATATCTTTAAAGCAAGTGTGACGTTTCGATCACTGGTGAAGGCGTAGATAGTTCTAATATGTGCCACTAGGTGTACATAGTTCCAAGATATAATTTTATTACAAATCGCAGCTCTTACGGCAAGTAAGAATATCTTTAAAACAAGTGTGACCACTGGTGAGATTATTCTCAAGTACACAAAGTTTTAACGGTAAAGAAGGTTTTAGTATTTAAATCAACAATCTGACAACGTATTTAAAATATTATTTATGGCTGAGCAGAACAAAACAAAGTGAATAATAAATATGAAATTGTGGAAACGTTGTGCTAAATATAAGATATAGGAACGTCTGAGGAAATAATGATCGAAGATCCTTAAAGATGTGCCTGGGTGTATGTTTTTTCTTCTGTTGTTACGTGTCTTTTGATTGAGTTTTTCTATTGCTGGTCATTGGAATGAGGTGAGCTGGTTACTATTGTGTACCGGTAGAAACATTTGTGTTAAGATGCAAGTGATGGAATTTAACATGAAAGGCCTTTAATGGACAAGGGCTAAATATCCAGGTCGGAAACCTCTAATATGAAGCCTATAGCTGTCCCTAACTTTGAATTTCCGATTAGAGGAAGGGCAGTAAGCCAACAGCGCACTCCGCCACAAGGGCGTTGCCCGGTTCTTTAAATTGAATAATGACGGTTCGCCTATATTCCGTTTAAAGTTGCCAATGTGGTATGTGTGTTCAGCAGGATCACGTCTCGAACCTTGGATCCTTCAACTGCAGTCCGACGCATTAACCAGCAGGTTATACCTGTAAGGTCTGTACAAGTACCGTTTGTATGTTTTCGACACTTACTACACGTGTAACTTGGCTTAATCTTCGACAGAAGGTTCATCCAGCAATGGGGGCGAACGATTGAAATAGTTCTCTTATTCACAGTCTATTTAAGACATTTGTGAATTGAATGTTTTTTTTTCTTTTCTAAATATCAAAAGAAATTTGAGGCTCATTATATAACATTTTCTTGCCTACATGTTTGATACTTTGACATTTATTATACAGTTTTAAGACATCTTGGAAAATCCTGCCCACGAGCTTTCGTTTTTGTGTGTGTTTGTTTTCCCACTCCCAGCAGTGATAACTCTAAATTTCTTATCTCTCTTATTTTCCCGCCCCTGGATTGCCCTTACGCCCTTAGATACGAGTTAGTATACGTCAAATAGAATCAATATTTAGGCTTCCTAATTCTGACAACCCGAAAATGTACATCGTCTCTATCATGCAAACATTAATATATGTAGTCGTGTGTTTGTATTATAGGTGGCGCTACCATAAAACAGGTAGACGTTTAACCATCAATTTACATATATGTTTACGTACCGTTCACCACTAATGGCATCGTTCTGAGTAATGGTATATTTCAGTATGGAGTGACTCGCAGAAAATAAGTTATTATACTAGATTATGTAAATAAATTGGGGATGATTAGTACGACTATTTATGATGGTGATATTTTTGTTTGTTTTCTGGGTAACTCGTTATCAATAAAGGAATGGACTCGCAAGCAAGTTGGAGCGTAAACAGTTTAGAAAAATATTTTGAAGTTTATGGGGTCCGTATGGATTCCCTTTTTGTTTAATATTAGGGCTAAGCCTTCTCGAATATTTTTTTCTTTTGTAGCAGAAATGATGAAAGCTTGTAAATTATTTTGCTGATGTAGAAATAGGGTTACCAGTAAACCTTGCATCGTCCAAATTTTTAGCCTTATTTTGTTGTTCCAATGAAAAACAACATATAGTGAATTGTCCCACTTTCTCTCTCTACCTCGCTGTTAATTCTGTATGTATGGTTTTCCCATCATAGATGGTTCCTTTAAATTTTACTTTGAGAATTATCTGAAAAAGTCGGATCACACAGCGTAGTTTGACCTCTCTTTACGGCCCGGTATGGCCAGGTGGTTAGGGCGCTGTGCTCGCAATCTGAGAGGCTGGCGGGTTCGAATCCCCGTCCCACCAAACATGCTCGCCCTTTCAGCTGTGGGGGCGTTATAATGTGACGGTCAATCTTACTATTCGTTGGTAAAAGAGTAGCCCAAGAGTTGGCGGTGGGCGGTGATGACCAGCTGCCTTCCCTCTAGTTTTACACTGCTAAATTAGGGACGGCAAGCACAGATGGCCCTCGTGTAGCTTTGCTCAAAATGCAAAAACAAAACAAATCTCCCTTTCCTACATTTTGTTAATCTAACCTGTCATTTGGCAATCGCAAGAATTCAGATTTAAAGACCTGCCCAATCGCGAAAAAGACCACTAAGAAGCAAAAGGATAGTGGATGAATCATTGCATTGACTACAACCATCCAATAATTAACAATAACAAGACCGCAAGCATACCAAGAAATACACTTACTAGTCCATTAAAGTTGTTGCAAAAAAGCAATTGGATCACCAAGAAGCACGCATGCGCAGATATCGGGCAGGCGGTAGCACTGCCTATGTTGACGTATCCGATGATGCCAGGTTAACCTGGTGAAACGTTGTACTTTCATTAAATTTTACTCTGTTTATCCGATTTATGAAGTTTTCTTTTAATTACGACATTTCATTATTTCTTTCATCGTACTAAGAAGCAACATTTGTCGCTTAAATTATTAAATTATTATTTAATTAGATGAGTTTTTTTAATTATCTTTGTCATGGTTTGAAAATACTATGCAATAAATATTAGATTCAAATAGTAAAATATAATTTAAACTGTTCCAAAGCTGTTACTGTATCAATACGCATAGAAAAAAAAAGTCCCAGTTTCTCACTCTATACATCAGGTAATCCTAAGTTTAAGTATTATTGGTTTTATTTTCCTCAGTTTAACAATGGCACAGCGGACTTACAACGCTAGAAACCGGGTTTCGATACCCGTGGTGGGCAGAGCACAGATAGCCCTTGTGTATCTTTGTGCATAATTAAAAACAAACAAAGAAACAGTTTAACAAACGAATATTAATGTACATATGTTATTCTTGATGCTGATTAACGAAAAAGGACTTAACGAAATTGCACAAATTTTTTTTTTTTTTTCAGAAAGTCTTATCTTGCTAAGCTGAAACAGTTGCAAAATATAGTATTGTTATCTTAGCATAGCTCACTGATGTCTTCCTAGTTTCCAGATCTGGCAAAATGCCAAGGAAAATAACATTGCGTGCGTGTGTGTGTGTGTGTTTGTTTGTGTGGTACCTACGCTTCGTTACTTTAAAATGGCAAGTTTTGTTTTTTTTTCCAGTATTTTCTTTGTTTCGTTTTTAAAACCTCTTTGAATAAATGTTGGATAAACTATTTTCAGAAGAAGCTTACAATTTTTTTTGTTGTCTTCACTGATCAACTGCCAAACGAAATTCGAGTGTAATTTCGTCTGTTCTGATTCCGTGCTAGAGGCGCGAATACTGACTTCACTGTTACGATATATTAAGGCTGTTTATAACGTATATACATATTGAGGTTTGCACAAAGTAACAGGAAAAAAAATATTGTTACGACAGCGGAAGTCACGTGACGCTGTTAACACGTAATGAGTTCTAGAAAGATCGGGGAACATCACGAATATTCCAGTATTTGCTAGGCGCCCTTTGTTCTTGTATATAAGTGCGCCAGACAATTAATCGGAGATTGAATAGCGGACAGAGAGATTGAAGATATAGATGGACAATTGAGTCAAGCGCGGGAGTAAGGAAAGTGCGTGAATCGTTCGTTGAGAATTATAGC